TTACTCGTACATTACAAACGCTAGCTAAATCTTTCGAGATAGACGAAAATAATGTACTATTGAATATCTTAAAAAAATCTACAAAAATGTCCGCAACGGTATATTTTTATCTACTGTAGATAACCTACAGTAATCGTTTTTAGTTTTTGAATATGACAAAAAAATAATGGGTTATTTACCACTAAGGTTTGTACGGCTGCGGTCATAAGTCCAGTAGCATTATGAACGCGACCGTTACGAAGTTATAGCATTATAACTAGTTGGACTTATGATCTTCTTCCATTAACGTGTATCACACACACATAGCCGCTACGTGCGTATGATTATAGTGACTAATTTCAACCAAATCAATAGCTGTCCATCTGGTGCTGCGGTGGAAGCTCTGATGCAAATGCCGTCATTTCAAAACTCATGTAACCTCACAGTAACCATTTTGAGAATTCATGTAATGTGGTTATGAGTGCAGTATTGTATTGTATTGTATTGTGTATTGTAACGAAGATTGAAAAATATAAATCTTCGATTCAATATAAGTGCAATACGACTGCACGGATGGCGTAGTGGTTTAAGCGGTAGCCACGCCGCTTCCTTCTACGCCGAGTATTGTGGGTTCAAACCCCACATGGGACGACACTTTGTTGTGATCCACAAATTGTTGTTCTGAGTCTGGGTGTTCTTTGTGTCCGTTTCATGTATATTTGTAAAGTCCCCCGTAACACAGGATATATTCATAATGCGGGAATTGTCTTTTAAAAAAAAGAAAAAGAAGAAAAAAAATTAAACTAGCAGTCACTAAAATTTGGGGGTACATTTGAAACAATAAACTATTTAATTTTTTCACAAACACCCTCAAACTTTGACGTCTGTTAGTGAACGTAGTTACGAATATATATGTTATTAATTGCCAATGATGTTTATATTGAATATCTGTATTCAAAATGCAAGTAAATATTAATATTTAAGCCACTTGGGCTAACGTTATAGCTTGACGTGGGCTGAATATCTGAAACATCCAAGGAAACCCGCTAGTGTAAGTAATTTTAATGGATTGTGTAATGATAACGGTGGTGTATGATTTTATTTTCTAATCTCTTATGTATTGGGTCAAAATGTCTAATAAGTTTTATTTCTTTATTAGAAAAAAGCTTTAAGAGGTTGAAGGAAAAGATTATTACCTGTCGCCAGTATTAACCAGTCTCATCATCAACAGCCTATAACAGTCCACTGCTGAACATATGCCTCTCCTTAGAAAGGCGGTTTTGGCCTACTCCAGTCTCAGCGATGTTTAATGGTAGGTGAATGTGAAAGAAAGTATCGAGGTATCCAGTGTTGTGCACACATGCATGTGGCCAACGAACATTACTACTGTATTATCTGGTTATAATATGCGTCTGCATTAAAACACCTCACAAACAAAGATAGGCACAGAACCGGAGTGCGAATATGAACGTTACAGTGCTACTGCATTTATGACCTTTGACTGTACATTGTTACGTTGTACTGGTGTAGGGAGCAGGCGGGTCACCTGATGGTAAGTGACTATCGCCGTCCATGGACTGAGACTCAAGAGACCATGTGCGTTCACACCCACTGAGCCCTCCCCCTCCACAGGATAAGGGGCAATGTGAGGGGAGGTTGGCCCTTCGGTTAAGTTGTTCGGTGAAAAGCACTAAAAAAATTACTTTAAACCGGTTTATTGTGAGGCCGTAGAATTAATCTCTCGCTCTCCGACGGTCACATTTATTATTAGGTATGTCATAATACTTATGTACAACATTTAAGCAAGTAAACATATTGACGGTTGCCCTACTTAATAATCCCCGTGTCCCCAACAAACAGTGGAAGTGCGTTCATACATACACATCCCTTGTCCAGCGCGAAAGTCATTCATTTTACTTAAATCATGAACCAATACTTAATATACACCGGCGCTACATCGATTGGAAATCAAATTTTGTACACACATTTTCTTTCCATTTGTAACTGCACACTAACCATCTTTGTAGTTCTGAAACTTCCAATATAATTTTGTAATCAATTATTTAACACTTTTATTACTGTTTTTGAAGTTAAAGTGTGAAAGTGTAAGTGAAAATAAATAATCGAAAACTCTTCTGATAGCATAACAATAACCATCTTTAATAACATACCGCACGATATCACAGATTGAAAATAATTATGAGATATAAATTACGGGAAAAAGTAAAGATCATAATTAATAAATATTATACGAGTTTTCTTAGAATTACCGTGACCAAGTCACAAACATATATATTATAGTATAACATATATTATACGAAAGCAAAAGGGTGTAGCTCTGCATCATCATGTTGACGTTAAATGTTTGAATTCATTCCTGCGACGTACCCCAATTAGAATTGAAAATATCGAGGAAGAAATAGCTTTCTTCCTCGATATTTTCGATTCGAAAGTAAATAATGTAGAGCAAATTAATCGTGTTTGATATGCTCGATAATTAATCTGTTTATTCTTTGATTTAAAAAAGATTCAACAAAACTGTGATAATACTACTATCCCAATTGACTTCAAATTAAATCACATAGTCTAAGCATATCCCACTGAAACCTTAGTCTGATATGACGTAAAGACGTGATCGTGTACAGAAAATTAAACCTCTTTCATCGCACTTTTCTAGTTTGTAGTTATAAATCTCTAGACAATCACGCAGTTCACGTAACTCTTGTACTCTCTAAACATCTGATTTTCTTTCCTCCACTAACTTACAAACTTCCTCCAAACAAATTTCCCAGTACAATTATTTATTAAACTTATTCACTGAAGCTCTACGAGCGGTGTGGCGTAGATCCTCTACGGCGTAGTAACATCTACGGGTACGAGACCTCAGGGGATTTCTGGCAATATTTTGTTTATAAGTCAATTTGGCGTATATGATTGCATTGATTTAGGAATAAATTTATTGAATCAAGGTTAGATGAAGATATTGATTCATGTGTGAAAATACAGTATATTTAAATAACAAATATTGCCTTACTAAGGTAGAAAGCTTAGAAGCCTATCATAATTTTTATTTAACCTTTGGATACTTGTCTGTGGTTGATAACTTTTAACCAAAATTAGAAATTTTTATATACTTTGCTGTATAACAGGTAACTTCTATAGGCTATCTCTAAAGGGTTCAAAATAGACCACAAATCACGTGTTCTCTTGCCAATTCTTGAAATGTAATTCTTTTACTGCTTTTCACCGAGCAAGTTCACGGAGAGTTTACTGTGTAGAAATGAAATTTTCGAGACTGATAGACAATTCTGATGTTACGTAATATGTTTAACTTTTTTTTTTATTTTTTTATGTTGAGGATCAAACAATCATTTACATGCTAAGACTAAACATATTTGTATGTACTTCTTGCTCTAATAGTTCCCTAAATAAAAACAATGCAACTACAATGTGCCACAGCAAAGCATGACAGGGTACAGCTGGTTGACGATAAAGTTAGTAACCAATAGGGAAGTAGCGTTTTGAGCAGGGCCAGTTTCCGAAATTGTGGAAGACGGGAAAACTGGTGCTTATTCGAAAGAAGGGGCGCACGGCGAACTCGACATTCGCCTCCCGGCCCATAGTGTTGCTTGACCAGGTGTGCAAACTCTTCGAAAGAGTGCTCGCAAATTGCCTCGTCAAGCACCTCTTCAGGGTTTGCCGGATCTGGCGGACAACCAGTATGTTAAAATTTATTAATGTGATCTGGTTTGTTATTACTATAAATTCACTTGTTCATTTTACTTATAAACTTGATCTAAATGTTTGTCCAAATCATGAAAAAAATAGTAGTCCGTTGGAGCGAGGTCAGGCGAGTACAGAGGATGGTTTTTAACTGTAGCACCTGTAGCGTTACAACGGTTTCTCGTACAGTATTAGGTCTTGCGTTAACATGGAGCAATAATTTTGAAGATCGATTTACGAGTCGGGGCTGTTTCACTGCCAGTAAACATCTGCTGTTATTGCCTGACCAGACCTGAGAAAGCTATAGTAAATAACATCATGAAGAGACCACCAAACAGTGACCATTTTGGCCATTGGCCTTTTGGATTGGCCATTGGATCAGCCATTGCGTTTTCCGCTTACGATTATCGTAAACAATCCACTTTCGTCACATGACACAATTCGATCCAATATTCCTTTATTTCTGTAATGATTCAAAAAGGCGACAATAGTTTCAACACGCATTTCTTTTTGCAGATCAGTGAAATCATGAGGCACCCATTTTTCATATATTTTTATATTTTTGATTTGATGCAATTGAGTCAATATTGTAGGTAGGGTAACGTTAAACCAAGGTACTAATTCCTGGGTAGTTTAATCTCCCCCAATTCAGCGTTATTCACCTGTGTAAGCGGTCTTCCACTTGGTTCGTTCTTCAAGTCGAAGTTGCCATTACGAAATCGTTTAAACTAAAAACGCACAGTGCGTTCATTAGCAGTCCTCTCTCCAAACGCAGCGTTGATATTGCAAGCTCGGATCGTAGTCGAAACTTGTATTCAAAAATGACTCGGATTTTCGAAGTATCCATATTGCACGTCTAAGCTGAATAAAAAAAAACATTGAAAGTCGAAAATCGAATGTTGTACATTTTTTAAAAGAAAAACCTCATAGGTATCATGTGAAACAACATTCACACGAAAATCTCCCACCATGAAGTTTTATGTCAATTCAAAGTATCTATTACTATACAACGGCAATTTCATGCTTTACCCCTATTACAAATTATTTACGAGTATATTTAAATGGCGCTCCGAGCACACGAATCATTACAATATGCCACTTCCTGATGCCTTACTGACCTCTTTCAATAACAGATTGATACAAACATTTGTACTTATTTACTCTAAAGAAATTCTTTGTATGAGTATTCAAACATTATTGTGTTGTTACAGCCAGATAACAAGCTTATTTGACTGTACAGAATTAAAAAAAACAATAAAAAGGGTGCGAATGCAGTGCGTTGCCATTTCGAAAATAATTCATCGTGTCTCTGAAAGCAGGTCAGCCACTCGGTGCGAAGTTAGCGGCAGCGCGACGCGCATCCTCCCGAAGGTGGCCGCGGTGCGCGCGCCGCGCTCCTTCACTACCGCCCTAGTCGTCTCCCTGCTATCAAAACCTTCGGCTCTCTCAAATAATAATTTTTAAATAATACACTAAATAGGCGTGTACACAATTGGAAATTAAATTTTAAGTGTGTTAACTGAATATGGCGATCAGTGTAGTCAAGTGGCATGGTGGTGGGGACGTGTGTTAAGTACAATATGGTACGTTTAATGTATGGGACCTAGACACCACTGTCAGTGGAGTGTTGCTGATAGTTTTGTGTGACCGTTGACTCGGCGTTCAGCAGCTGCCTACCCTTGTAAGTATATCACTTACTTATTAGTATATTGTTGTTGGTGTAGGGGTGTAGCTCGTCCCCCGGGGGATGTCGTGAACTGACCTGACTACTGTCTAACATCTCTTTTGTAAAGTGAATGTAATATTCTAATAATATTTTTAAACATTTAAAGTCATTCCATTCGTTGTGTAAACATTCTCTCCTAGAGTATCTTGCGATTTTAGTAAAACGTTATCGGTCAATAATAGGATAGAAATAAAGAAGAATAGAAGATAAAATCATGATGAGCGATAATCATTAATTTAATTAGCCAAATATTAGTTTTGCTTCGGATTCCTTCCGTAGATAACGGTTGCCAATTAACGTTAAACAATGGTTATTGTTTAAAGTGATTTTTTATTAAATAAAATAGATAATTATTAAATGATCTTCATTTCACTGTTATAAAATTTAAATACGGATTTCAAAGTAGTTGCAAGGTAGCAACATTCTAAATATCCGGGAAACGTCATTCGTATTTACAAATTATACCTTTGCTGTGCAGGATGTTTTGCAGCTTTTGGAAATATTTATAAATTTTCTAATAAAATTTTCATCAGCTTCAATCGCTTTTATTCACTATGCTTCCATAGGTTATTATAATTAGCTCTTATAAAACGTATTTTTACTTTATAAAAGCTGTTCTGTTCTTTATAAAGGCACCATCAACAAAATACTTTTAATGGGCAATTTTCCTGATTGATGGTGTAGCTTGTAGTGCCATTACTTGTTGTTAGGAATATCTAGTAATGTAGTAGCCAAGTTCTAATAAACTTATCTTGTATCGAATAAAGATCAACTAATAAACCATTAACAAATTATTACCGACTTCAATGCATCTACATCTACACTCTTAGGTGTGGTGTGTTTCTTTAAATTTGAATGAGACCAAAAAGGATAAACTTCATATTCTCGCAAATAAAAAAAGAAATTGCTAATCCAATCATAAATAACGCAGTTATAAGGTAATAAATGCAAGAAAAATACATGAACTTCCAATACGAGAAACTAGTCTAATATAAGTGGTCGGTTAAAAAAACCTTAGGCATTAGTCGATACTCTATATCAGGGTGACTTTACAGACTAATAAGTGCGCTTGGCAACTTTAATTATAAATTAAAGGTGCCAAGTACACTCGAACACGGCACAAATAATTGTTTCACGACCGAGAACATACCACAAACTTCGAATACTTAAAGATGAAGACATTTATTGCAAAATCTTAGACCAATTCATCATCGATCATCAATATCAATTCATTAACTTATTCTGGATAACTAATAGAAATCCAAAATATTTCTGTCTAAATACAAGTATTTAAACCTCCCTCCTAAGGAGAGGCCTATGTCCAGCAGTGGACTAGTAACGGCTGTTGATGATGATGATGATGAGGAAAGGGAGCCAGGATGTGTGATAAGTCTCTCGCTTACCGCTGCCACTTTCTCTGCTTAGTGATAATAAAAACTTCAATATTACCTTTAATTGTCTGACGTTTGAACCAGGTTGCACTAGCCTTGCTCAGAAGTTGTTTAGGCTCATCGGCCGTGACCTTAAATAATTAATGGAACAAGAAAAGTTAAAAGCTAACTTATCTTATTTGTAATTGTTCATCAATCATCATCAACAGCTTTTAATAGTCCACTGGTGGACACAGGCATCTCTTTAGAAAGGAGGTATATCACGCTGGCCAGACGGATAGGATTTGTGTCTAGTTTTCCTTCTCTTTGCAGTGCTGTTGTCCTGCGTAGTTTGCTCCCCTAGTCGGCTTGTACCACACCCACGGGATGAATAGGGGTGGTGACATTCCGTACTCTTAATCCACACCTAATTTATTTGTTAATACTGTTTAAATGGGTAAATTGGTTACACTCATATTTTATGATGTAAACAATATTGTAGACGCTACGATATATACTCTTATACATTGGTTTTCATATGTTTTTGCATAGAAATACTGAACGAGACCAATTTTACATACTAAACTACAAGATGCTCGCTACTTTTAAATATTTATTATAACATCGTATATATGAAAGCATCAACCATTTAATACTTGAGAATATAAATATTATCAGCTCTTCTGTCTTCATTGCTTTATCCCATGATGAGGTTCGCCGTCTGAATAAATTTACTTTTACAAAATATTTTAAGAGCAAGTACGTATCTTTATTTCTTCAGCCAGTCAAGGGTTATTTCAGGTCAAGAACTCAACCATGTACCGAAAATATGTATGGCAAGAATCTACAAAGGGATTACCAACAACTTGGATAGTAGCAGATTCAGTAACGATGCCGAGATCTTCTTTCTTTACCAAAAACACACCTTTTTCGTCTAGATATTGTAAAAGTATCAAGTACTGTACCTAATATCCATTTTACATATTGAATAATAAGAAAAGCTCTAAAAATATCGGTAACAAACGCTTAACTAATAAATTGCTGTCGCAAAATACGAAACCTTAGCTTATCTGAAGTTTTAGCTTATCTTATTTCTTCCGTATTTTCTTTAGCAAGATCAAATATATCATATATTTGTTAAGTGCTCCTTAATAATACAACAATAATAGTAAATTCTCCAAATGTATTCTATGAATGTGCTCATTTCAGCATCCACGGCCATTCCACGTTTTCTGCAATAAAAATACTTTGTTGTTTATTATAGGTGTATGATAGAACCTCGCCATACGAGTATAACAGTGTTCTAACTATTACAAAGTTGAAAGAATGTAAGCAGAGTGCTTTTAACGGTCCGTCATATTAGCCACATTGAAGTACACCCTTAGCACGCCTTCTATATGTAGAGCAATAGGGATAAATGTTGAATATCTTTCATCAATCGGAAAACCTTAGAAAACTTTGTCGTTATTACGAGTATCTGTCAACCTCACCGTGGCTTGATGATTGCTCTTGTTTACGTTTTTACATATATGGATATGATTTTTAACGATACGGCGCTCTTTCGATATTGACATGAACTCAAAATCAATATAAATATAAATGAATCTCAAAAACTCGAGAACGGCTTGACCAATCCGTCTATTTTTTTTTCATATTTGGGTTAAGGCACAAAGCAGAAAATAGCGCGGAGAATAGCAAAAACAGAACCCATACCCATACCCTTTTTCTACCCATACGAACTCTCTATACAAATTAACTCTGTGTAAATTAAAACACCTATCGCTAGCTGTCAAAAATTTGAAAATTTAAATTAAAACATTTATTTTTTCTATTGGACTGCGACAGCCCAGTAACTTTTGATGGAACGAAGTCCGCCAGGGCGGCTAGTATAACATATAATATAGTACTATTCATATATTATCCAAAACAATGTCTTAACCATATTACTTGATGTTAGGCAATGCATGCAGCATATAATGGAATGCAGCATGGAATGCATCGATTAAGCAAGTGGTGAACGGTTTGTTGTATTACTCGTACGTAGTTCGTGTCGTGTCGTTACTTTAATGAGTATAGAATGTTTGTGACTCGTGCTATATCTGAACACCTGAACTTTGGTTGGTATTAAATGCTATTCGCTTGGCAAACAATAGTACTGTACTGTAGACGACACTGTCGCACATTGGTGTTGTAACTACCTTTTTATACAGTGAACCGTTTATCATGTGACGTAACATGTCACGCAAGCAATGCCACTGGAATTATCACTTTATTCTCTACATATTAATATTTATAAAAGTTATATCAATATTGCAATTAGGTATAGAGATACAGTTTCTAATGATTACGTATAGAGATACGTAATCATTAGAAACTGTAAAGATTTTTGTACTTTGTACTTTAAAGAGTGTCGTTTTTTTACCTAAACTGATTTAAATGACTTTTAAAAAGAAGGTTCTACGTTATGTACCTACGTATGCATATGTTTATGTTTGCATGTACACATGAACCAAATTGAACCCGTCACTCGTCTTACAGAATTTGGATTTATTAATTAAGTTTACACAATCTTAAGAGGGCGTCTGCCTATATTCAGTGAAATCTGATAAATTTAATTTAAATCAATTTACGGAATTATCTTTACAAGTCAAATGCAATCATAATAAATACGTTTGCCCTACAAAACGTTGAACTTCATGTTATACGAGTACTCAGAGCTTAAATAATTGTACATAATATTTTCACACATCTCACACACATCTCACAGCCGTCTGATCCCAAACTAGGCAGATGCCAGTACTATGGTAACCAGACAGCTAACAAACATATTTCTAAATACATACACATTATAGACAAAGTATACCCAGACACAGAACAAATGACCGTGCTCATCACACAATTAATTGTCCTGGGTTGTAACCGAACCCACGACCTCTGGCGTAGCAGTCAGGGTTACTAACCACCAGATCTATAGGCCAGTCAATTGATTCATTTATAGTATTCCCCAGGGTATCCCTTCATACTAGGAACATGTAAGTACATACATAGAGTTTGTATAGGGCTCTACGACGTGGAGTCCTTAAAGGTTCTATTGTTGTACAAATTGAGTCCCAACTCGATTGATTCTAACTCCGACAAAAGGGACGAGTTATCGTAAATGCCGGGGATGATCGTGCCGACTCTCATTTGTATCACAACTTGAATCTTACTTTTATGGCCTCAACTAAATTATGTATTTCTCTTAAATATTCTGGAATAATCTGTTTAAGTAAAATGTTGTTGCTAACTAGACTTGGAAAGCATCTTGACTCGGACGATCGTGGTGAAGACCCACCTTGGGCAATTGGCTAGAAAAGCAACGTGAGGTACCATATAATGCAGATTCTGGTCAAACACGAATATAACAGACAATAACAGTTCAAAGGGAGACCATTTTCTTCGCGGTAGAGTTACAATGGTCGTCAATATAATAAACAAATAAAAAAATTGTGGGCTAAAACAGCTCCGTTTTAAGTAATCCCATGCTGACATATTCAACTCATCATATATCTGTGGGTTAGGTAATCCCGTTAGAATTTCAAGAAAAAAGTTCATCGAGGATTGCCTGCGGTTAAACCCATTTATCCAAAAGCATTAAACCGAATATGTTAAATTGTAAAGATTGTTCGTTCTACAGCAAAAAAA